CTAGTTTACAATTCAGAAATTACAGCTGAAACTTGATTGGGCGGCACCACTTCAGATACTTTTTTATGGGTGGAGTTCGTCATGTTGCATAGAGTTTTTTTATCACTCTATCAATGTATGGCATATGTCTTGCATTAAAAATTCAATACAGGCCAACACTGATGCATAAAAGGGATAAATAACCCAAAAGAATGCAGACATATGGATTGAATATAATTATCTATATTTCGTTCCAAGATCTCCAAAAATAATTAACCCTAAGGAGCGATCTTCATAAGAAACGCGGCTGGAGAGGGGTTTCCGAGTCATATTTCAAATGTTTCATTTTATCTGGTTGCTTTTATCTCAGACCAAATCTTACTGCATCTATTATTTATTTACACTCTAGAAGGTGACCAGATTCGCTCAGAAGCGTGATTCCAAAAATACAAGGATCCAGGCATGTTTCTTTCCTGGTTTTACCTAAGCCAAGTTCTTAGTCCAAAGTTCACACTTAGAACTCCAGGCAAATCTAAAAAAGGTCCTTAACCTCACTTATCTATCGTCTCATAACTCATTAAATAATTTTTAAGTTCAGTAGTATAGTTCAAAATACAAAATTATGTATCATTTGTAATTCAAATGAAAAAAAGCCAAAAAATAACTGTTGCAGGTATAAAGTGCAGGCGCCTAGAGGTGTCCATACCTGTAGCAGCCCCTACTACTCTGCTTTTATGGGTGCATAGCAGGCAATTCTGACACGCAAAGCTCCTTCTCTACCCACAAGTAGTGCCACTGCCTTCCGCCCCAACACACATCTATAAGCCGATCAGTACAATTGGTGGACCCACTGGCAAATAGACATGACTATGGTAGAATAGATGTTCTCAGTCCTACATCTAAACTGCCAAACCTCCTACAATCTCACCCCCCAAAATAAAACAGATAAAGGTTGCAGGTCTTTGAAAGCCATCATATTCTAACAGATTTTGTCTCTGCAGAACCACTGAAATATTAGGCCCCCACCAGCACCACGCTGACTCTGGGACAACCTCCAAATTGACTGCAGTTACATCAGTATCTGAATTTCTTGTACACTACCATTTCATGTCATGAATTGAGGACACCATGCCAAGAAAGGTCCCCAAAACATTACCCACCAGCAACTATTTGGCTGCCTTCAAAGACCCCAAACTGCCCAAGCTGCTACAACGCCATAAAACAACTATGGGCAAAAACCTGGCTGGGTAGGTTAGAAGTTCTCTCTTCATTTGATGAACCTTGGACCATTTCTGAACTTCAGACCATCTCTGAAGCTCCTCCTAACCTTGACCACCGACTGGGTTAGTCCCTTTAATAAGGCAGCCTGAGGCTGTTGCTTGAGGCAGTATCTCTTTGGGGGAAAGCCAGAAGGCAGAACGGTTTGGCCACTCTGCTGCACATTATTTGCAGTGTGCCTGCTGCTCCCTTTCCCACTGAGTGTCCCAGATTGCTAAGAGCAAGGCGGGGAGATGTGAAAGAGCCATACACATCTCCCCACCCAGTTCTTAGCAACCTGGAATGCTCTTGCTGGCGTCCCGTCGAGCACTTGGCAACCTGTGATGCCAATGGTTGCCAGGAGCTTGGTGGGACACAGTCCAGATCATCCCAGGTTGCTAAGAGCTGGGCGGGGAGATGCAGAGGCCTTACAAACCCCCTGCCCTTGCTCTTAGCAGCATCACTCTCCACCAGCACTCCCCCCCACCAATAGCATGCACCATCCAGCAATCCCCCACACTGCCTCAGGCAGCAAAAAAGCTAAGGACACCCCTGCCGCCAACCAATTCAGTAAGTGACCTTACCCTAATGTAAAACCCCTATTTTAACCCCTGGGATCCCTGTCTCCCCTAATCTCACTTGTATGCCCTCTGCCTATTTTTTTTTTTTAGGCTCCAGGGACACAGGTGCAGACAAAGTTCAGCTTTATGAGGAAGTGCTGAAGCTCTGGCTGAAAGAATGGCTGGGATCTTGACCATAAAAGCAGAATATAAGAGAGTGAGGCCGTTATTTGTTGGCTCATCTAATGACAGATTCTCTTCAAAGAAAATATCTTCTTCAGGGTAATTGCAAGCTGCACTTTTCTGAGCATTTCCATGTGTAGTATAATGTACACTGATACCGGAGCTGTTTGCTGTCATCATTTTCAATGGCAGTCCCATGATTCTTTCCCAAAAGGTTCCTATACCTGATATGTCCATGAATTTCACTATTAAAAACAAGTGTCATGAACTCCATCTTTTGAACTGCATGTTAGAAGCATTTTCTGCCACCTGTTCATACTCGCCCTCTTATTATGTATTGAAAAGTATCATTTACAATTGAGATATACTGTATTCCAGTTCGATAAATATGTCTTAAGTGGCATTATGTTGGTCTGTAGAGTATGTTCTGCATGACATCAATTCAGGAGCGTCGTGTAGTGCAGAAAGAACAGCATGTGAGCAGGAACAGATAATGCAATTTAATTCCCTCCTGCCGGATGGCTGACTGTGTGGTAAGCCTTCCCTGCTGAGATGTGTGTGGCTGACTTATCTGTTTTTGTAAATGAAATCATGAAGACACTCTCAGCAAGAGCTTATAGTCAATCAATGCTCCTGGAAGCTGTTTACTGGGCATGTTAGATTTCCACTCTCTGATTTGATTATTGTTCAGCATTGATTAGAAAGTGCCAAAAATAACTGTATTTTTTTAATTTTTTTTATTTGGGCAGTTAAAGCAGAACCGCAGCCAAAAATAATATGAACAAATAAAAGCATATTGAAAGAAAAAAAATAGCTTTTGCTACAATATTCACCTTCAATCCAGAGATTTCCCTGGCAGTACCTTTTCCTGCCACTAGAGGTCCTCAGTCTAAGGGCCAGAATCATTTAACCTACTTACTCTGAGCCCAGGTCATCCTGGACCCACCCCTAGTCTGTGACTGGACAGTGAAAGGAAAAAGGGCATAGTGATGAACTCATCTCTCTGTCACTCTGCTCGCTCTTCCTATCAGCATGTTTCTTACCAGCACATAAACTAATTTGCTACTTGTACTTCTTCTTCCTCTCACATTCCAGCCCTGTTGTATAGAGACTGCAAGAATGTGATACAAGGTCAAATTCAGGTACGTACACTGCTGGCATTTAAAAATTCCTTTAATGAAGTATAAATGGTTACAGAGCTGAATTAATTTGTTTCTTTTATCTCTGCTTTTCTGTCTTTTAGTTCAGCTTTAAAAACTCTTACGTTAGTAGCCTAGCCCGAGAATCTTCCTTAAAGGAATACTCCACTTTCATTCAAGGATTAATTAACTTTCCATGTTAAGCAAGCCATCCTCATTACCATCCCTGTAAAATCTCCTATGCATTTTACAAACAACTGCGTTGAGTACAGGCATGCCTATGTAATCCACTTAATCTATGTGACAGGCATTACATGGCATTACATGGCAGTTGTTGGTAAATTTAAAGGAGACTGTACAATCGGATTGGACAACTGTAAAAATTATAATTAGCTTGGGTGTGCAGCCAGATACAATTTTTTTTAAAAACTGCAACTGTAAAGGATTCCTGGAATCTGTATTCTTCCTCGTGTCAATGGCTCACCATTATTCAAAGAATACTTAACAGAGATAGAAATGTTCATGCATCCCCACTGCTGTCCACAGGTTATTTGCCTGAGTCTTTCCTCCCTAATAACTTGGCCATACATCTACAAGGGTGCTGGGGATGCATTGTCTGATCAAGTGACTAAAACAGGCAGACCCTCCTTTTGAAGCGTATCTTCAAATTAGTTTATTACATTACATAAACACTAAATTCATGCTGACACTAATTTGATATCAAGTCAACCGTATTAAAGTAAAATTACAGTTTTGCAGATACTGGGATGGGTCATGCACTGCGGGCGGGGGGACATGGAAGCGGTGCCATTGAATACAATGCACAGCCACGCACCAAAAACGCAAGGCCTTAATTGGTGCTGACATTGTCCTTCCTTCTGGAGGGTGGCTACTTTTGTTCCCCATGGTCCATGTGTGTGTTGTAAAGTAGTCACCGCTCCAAGCTCACTCCTGTGATGGACTACAATCTCACATTTAGTTTACTAATTTGTAATAAGATTGTAGTCCATCACAGGGGTGAGCTCGGAGCGGTGACTACTTTACAACGCACACAGGGACCATGGGGAACAAAAGTAGCCACCCTCCAGAAGGAAGGAGAGTGTCAGCACCAATTCAGAGATGAGTTGAGGACTCTACAGAGAGTGATGCACAAATAAGATACATTTTTGTTCATCGTTAAGGTACTTGAATGCATTTTTCAGATTTAAAGATTGGACCTTTACACTTAAAAATCTTATTCTACCAATGCAACACACACAGGGATCATGGGGAACAAAAGTAGCCCCCCTCCAGAAGGAAGGACAGTGTCAGCACCAATTCAGAGATGATTTGAGGATCTACAGCAGTGGAGTCCATGCTAGGTGAGGCATTTCCCCCTGCACGCCCCACCCCCAACCAAGTCACTGAGCTATGTGTGGAGGAGGGAGGGAGGAGGGAGAAGGGCGGAAACAGGGAGGAGCCTCCCTGTCCCTCACTTGCTCGTCACTGGTGAGGCATAGAGATCGATGTCCTTAGTGTTTTGTTTTTTTTTCTTTTTTTTGATTGGACAACTCCTTTATGGAAGGTTTTGGAATGTCCAGTCTTGGTATTATTATTATACATGATTTATATAGCGCCAACAGTTTGCGCAGCGCTTTACAATATAAGGAAGACATTACAATCACAATACAATTCAAGACAATATGGTAAGTAGGGCCCTGCCCACGAGGGCTTACAATCCTATCCCAGAACAAAAGCAGGCAGGAATCTGCAATAAGGTTTGCTAAAATCTTTACAATGCATATACAATAAATGGTATGGAGAAGATTTTCAAAAAAAGTTCCCCTTTATTTCAAGAAGATGGAAACAAGGCCAGCTCCAGCCTGGAACCCCCATTACTTACTTCATTGTCGTGAGGAGGCAACTGATGCAAAAGCTGTTTGATTCTGGATTTCTCCCCGGGGCTGTTCACATAAGGGACTTTATCCTCAGGCAAGCAGCTGTAGTACTGGTGGACCTGTGGACATGAATGCAAACTTCATCACATTTACTGAGCACACAAACCGTGGCTGTTAAAACAATTCTGACCAAGATGAGGTCATGGTGTCACGCGAAACTGAAAAACAAAGTTGTAAACGACAAAGCGCACCATAAAATAAAGCAGATTTCCTCCATTTTCCTTTGTCATCAGCAACTAAACAGACAATCCGGCAGAAATTAGAGTTATTGCCTGAGCGAGGCAGAAAAACCTTGCGCAGAAAGTGGCTGCATTCCATCAGACACATGCAAAAGACATCACAGAAAACCTTCGGAGGCCATTAAGGTGTTCTATGCGTCTACTACAAGTCCATCGCCAAATAACAGTAGTTAAACATTTCGAATGTTAGAGTATCCTGTTATTGTAGTGTATTATGTGAGGCCCGTCTCCCAAGCAGTGTGTTTTATGCATTTGATTCTAAATATAAAAAAAAAAAGAAGAAAATTTAAGATTTAACAGCTTGTAAAAAAAACTGAAGAACAGGATCTACTACCAAGTCTCGACTATATTCGGGACTCGAATATTTAATCGATTAAAGTACCATTAAAAACGCAATCTTTTTTCAATAATGAATCCAGATCAAGCAATTATACATCACCCAGCAAAGTATTTCTTTCATTTTAGCCCAAGCACTTACAGTCATTATGTTGCTGAACAGCTCCAACTCTCTCAGCTCCGCTTCCCTGAACTTCCTGTCCAGTACAAGATCAAAAGGGACAGAGCAGACAAACAATAAATAAACATTACCCAGCAAAGTATTCCTTTATTTTTTCCCCAAAGATCACAAGGGGACAGCGCAGTCTCCAGCAGCTATCTATTCACTAGCTTGGAGAAGGGAGGAAGGAGGAGGAGAAGGGGGCAGGGAGCAGAGAAGTGTCTTGCCTTGCTGTGTCACACGGAAGGGTGGCTCCATAGAACAATGCAAGGGAAAGGAGCCACCCTAAAACAGGATATTAGGGCCAGCACTCGCACTTGCAGCATATGTAAATGTATATTTTAATGATGGTATGTCATACAGAGATTTGTAAATGATTCTTCTGTTGGTCACCATACAAGATACAATAAAACACAGCGCCATTAAAAAAGATCTGAAGCCAAAACTTTTCTTTAGATTTGAATAGAGTAAGGGAGGGTTATAACCCCTATCTGCTTTTTTGCCATCTGTGCACCATTGGGGAGATTTTTTCTTCACTTCCTGTCCAATAGCCACAATAGGAAGTGAGAGGAAATCCCTCCAAAGTGATGGAAATCTCTGGTTGTCAGCAGGGTCACCAGAACAGAACTAGTCTTTCCAATGGAAGATTTCTCATCTATTCCTGTTCTGGTAACAGCCTAAAAATTGGGATTTTCTTTTACTTTCAGTGATAACGGTCACTAGGAAAAATAGAGAGGGAAAATCTCACTAACGGGGACACGGACGGCAAAAAAAACCTGACACTGCTTCTAATGCTTCTCAAAAAAATGTTGGCATCAGGTGCACTTGAAGTGCAGTAGTTGGAGATCACCCCTAAGCTGGGTATATACTGTTAGATTTTTTTTCATTAAATTCTTTCAGGCTGAATAGAAAAAAAAACCGAACAGATTCCTCTGTTCACACTACATATTGGGGGGAATTTATCAAAACTGGAGCAGACAAAATCTGGAGCAGATTTGCACTGCAACCAATCAGCTTCTTGTCTCATTTTCAAATCTTACCTGAGCAAACTGAAGAGAGATGCTGATTGGCTGCCCTGGGCAACTGCTCCTAGATTTTATCTGCTCCAATATTGATAAATTCCCCTCATTGTATTTTGACAATTGGCCCTGCCAGCTGTCAAAATACCTGAACAATGCCTGCATCTAAATGGATGTATGGACTGTTTGGCGGACAATTTCCCATCCGGGTCCTATGATTTTTTTCAATTGAAGGTGTTGGGTGGGTGCCGGCAGACAGGGCCACCCACTAAGCAAATTTCAGCCAGTTCATCAAGAAGCAGACATAATTCGCTCATTGTATACCCAGCTTTAGTAACATAAACGATGTCTCGTACGATAATCGGCAGGTGTATGGGCAGCGTGCGACCACTTCTACTGTTAGGTCACACGACTTTCGCTTTCCGAGCAGGCTGGAAAACCTGCCGAATATCGTACGAATATCGTACGGTTGGTGGCGTGCTCGGAAGACAAATGCCGCACGGGCCGGTGTGCGCGAGCGCACACTGCCCGCTCAGCACTGCAATCATCGCAAGCCCTCCCCTCAGCGGGGAGGGCTTGCGATTATTGCAAGTACTATCTGCCTGTCCAAGATAGGCAGATCGTACCAAATTTTAATCACCTTACAACCATCGCACAATAAAAGTCGTGCGATGGTTGTAAGATGTATGGGCAGCTTTAGGTCGTATGGAGAGTAGTGATGGGCTCGGGCGTGTTCGCAGCTCCACGTGCTGAGCCCACCAGGAAGCTGACAGCGCCGCAGCGCCAATCACGGGTACTGAGACATTATCCCGGTCCGCAGCTGCAGAGATCATGAAATGTATGCGTGCCTGTGATTGGCGCTGCGGCTCTGTCAGCTACCTGGCGGGCTCGGCACGTGGAGCTGCGAACACGCCCAAGCCCATCACTAATGGAGAGGTGAGAGTAAATTCTATTGGGAGAGGAAAGTGGAGATCACAAGGGGCACGAAGAGATTATCTAATCACCAGTTAATTGCATTCACTTTTGTATTGGAGGCACTGTTCACTTTATGCTGTATGATATATGCATCACAGTGGATGTCTTTGTAAAGTAGACTACTATAATCTCATCTTGCTGCTATTATATTTAATGGATATATTTTTTCCCCCTGTTTGTAAGCACTTCTAATTGACACAATTATATATATTGTATCTAGATATAGAGCACATTACATTTATAATATTGATATTATTTTGGCTTCTCGCTGGAACTAGTGCTTGCTGCTTAGTAAGAGACAGAGGCTAAGCGCGAAGTGCATTGTTTATTTATATAATAGGTCTCTCTTATCTTAAAGGGGGCTACTTATAGATGTTTTCTAATCTAATTAGAAAAGTGTGTGTATATTGGGAGAAATTTGTGTGAATGTTCTGTCTAATATTCAAGATTAGACCACAAAGTGTATGTAAACCCTAACAGTGAACTTCCTAGTTTGCTCCTTTTACTGTAGATACACCATTAAAAGAATTGTGTTATATTTGTTTAATAAGTGCAAAAAACTGTTGAACATGACAAAAACTAAAATCTCACGCAGTGTTATTAGCCCTGCCCAGTTATGGAGGTCAGGAGAACAGAAGGTGTTCTGCTTCTCCATGAATACAGTACAGTTGCAAATAGTGAGTGTTCTCACTCCAGGACAGGAAGTGTATTACTGGCAGGATCACCAGGTGAAAATAATGGAAAATAATCCTGTAAAAGAAAACGAATGCAGCCACCACATCTAAGGACTGGTAAGCTGCAATATATTACATTTTTGTTCTTGGGTTTAGATATACTAATTTTGACTCTTTTTTGTTACTAGTGGTGATGTCTTCCAACTGCTGCCCTTAGCGGTGCACTGTTTTCCATTGCATGCAATGAAATGGCAATGAGGAGCTGCAACCATCAAACGTCTATCCTCTTATAGTTACACTTGAGGATCTACATGGTTCTTAATACACTTATAGGGCTCCTGCACATGGACATCCGAACCCTCCCACCCCCACAATGGGCTGCATTCAGGCTGTTTTGACAAACTCAGTGCAAAGGATCTCAAGAAGACACTCTCCTTTTTGGATAATCTGCACTGCATTCCCAATACAGAGGAGCTGCGGTCTGTAGGGTTCTCTGGCTGCAGGCTATGTTGCAGGTGGGGCTCAGGTCTTGAACATCTGTCAACAGGAGTCCATACTAATACACAGCATCTATTGTTTTCACTGATGCACAGGATGGCTATAGGTGTGTAGGTGTCTCCCTGAGAACAATTATGACAGGTGCACTAATTGCCAGTAGACCGGTTATGCACATGTAGTAGTTGGATCCTTTGCTGTTCTCTGCAGAAGGCTGAAGGACCAGCCCTGCAAGGTAACAAACTCCTCTGCCTGTCGGAAGTTTTCCTCAGCACCATCTACTAAGGGTGTAGTCCCAAATGTTCCAAGTAATTGTTGAAATAGATAGTATTGCTTGTTTCTTTCCATAGCTTTGCTTGCTACTTTCCACTCGTTTATGGCCACCCATAGATGTGCACTGAGGGACATGAGCATTGAAGTAGAGTCAACATGCGGGACTACTAAGCAGGAGACAGAGCCCTCACATAGTGCTTAGCAAAGCTCTTCTTAAAAATTAGGCTAGATGAAGACTTAGTGAGTTAAGTCTGCAGATAATTTCTTGACCAGCATCCAATGGTTACTACTGGGGATGCACCGATATATTGGCCACCGAAACATATCGGCCGAACATGGCACTTTTGGCAAAATGCCGAAAGTGCAATTTTTCTGGCCAAAATAGCTGTGCTTCCGTGATTTCTCTCCTCCCCGCTGGGATGCCCAGCGGGGAGGAGAGAAACTGTCACAGGAGGCCAAGCGGTGTGGGAGGAGAGCGAAGTGAGCAGCCGGCGTCTCTCCTCCACGCACCGTTCAGCCTCCTGTCACAGATCAGGAGAGCTGCGGTGTGGGCGGAGACAGCCATTGCTGTCACAGGAGGCTAAGCTCTCCTCCTGCACTGCCCTGCCCAGCCTCCTGTGACAGCGTGCCAGGATGCAGAGCGGCGGTGTGGTCAGATACAGCTGTCATTGCTGTCACAGGAGGCTGAGCTCTCCTCCCAAACCGTCCCATCCAAACTCCTGTGACAGCATCTCAGGATAGAGAGCGGTACAAACACTCAGTGATCGCTGACTGCTTGTAAATAATTGAGGCGATAGTGTCCTCAGTTATGAATGAATGGGAAGTGATCTACATCACTTCCTGTTCATTTATGATTGTGGATATAGTAAACATACTATGTCCACACGT